ATCTCGTCAACAATAAAATCTTTCAAAACCAAACTGAGGCAGCACTTACAACTGTGAAAAGGGGAAAAAAAAATAGGATAAAAAGGTGGCAATTTTTATAGGTGTTTGAAACCCTTTTTGCTTTCCTGACAACATGTTTATGTGTTAGTTAACATTTTTTTTTTTTTATTGTAATACTAAAGTTTACTCTTTTTTTTCAAAACTGCTGTTGTCGAAATAAAAACAAACAAACAAACTGTATGAGAAGCACGTTACAGTTTCAGTTTAACTGCTGAATATTGTTGATGCACCGTATCATGCTTATCCTTCAGTGAAGTTTCTTTAGATGGTAATAAAAAGAAATCTTGGCTTGGTTTTTTTTTTGAAATGTATTGTTAAAAAATTGTAAAACGTTCGCTTACCTACTGAGGTCGATGACACTGACAGCCGTTCCTCCTAAAAATTATCAAAATGGGACAGGTCGTTACCCCTCCAAAATGAGTAATCTAAACTAAAATTTTCTGTTTCTCACTTTCAACTTTACTCGAACTGTGGCGGAGAAATAAATGCACACAGTCGAAGTACCCACTGACATATTTCTGAAACACTCAAGGGAGTCCGGTAAGTAGGAAAGCATTTATTGAGACATTTGAGATCAAACGAGATTTTGTGGTTTTACCTAAGTTTATTCGAAGACGCTCCATTTCTACGTAGAAATTTACTATACATGGCACAACCAACTGTTAGTAGTGACTCTACCTCTTCCAAGAATTTAGTGGCACATTGTGTCGATAATGGTTGCATAGAATTTTGAAGTAACATTGTTCTGAGTGTGTCAAAATCTGGCCGATCTTTTGGTTGTTGTGCCATAGATTTTCGTATTATAAGCCAAAGTTTACTACTACAACTCGCAGGTTGTTCTAAACGCTTTCCACTCGTAACCTGACGTTGTACATCTGCATCGTGTTCAAGTAGATACCATGGCATTGTCCCTTTCGACAGGGCTTCCCACATCAACACACCCATCGAATACATATCCGATTGTTCCGAATAGCTGTCAGGGCTATTATTCAGAAGGATTTCAAGTGCAGCATAACGAATTGGCACGATATCAAAAACAGTCCTCGATGCACAGGAAACAGTCGCGTATAAAATACTTGCACGACTAAGACCAAAATCAGTTAATTTCACAAGATTTCGTTTTAGCTCAGTCGGATTGAAAGCAAAAACAAGAACATTTCTACACGCTAAATCTCCATGTATAACATGATTTCGTGCTAGAAATGTCATTGCATCCGTAATTTGAATGAATATTTCACGTAAAATATTTTCATTGGGTAATTCTGCCAAATCCAGTAGATATTCAGATAAGTTTCCTTCAGATGCTTCCTCTTGTAGTAACATAATTGAATTAGAAGTTGGATGATCTGACCTCACATTGACGAGTCCATATGTCCGTACGATGTGTGGATGACAACTTAATTTGACATACAATGATGCTTCTTTTTTTGCTCGAGCACCATTCATTTTAAGTAAAACAATTTCGGGACCATCGATATTTGTTAACCATTCAGCTGGGTATATAGTTTTTCCGTATGTTTCAAACAGAGGTCGTCGTGCTTTCTTTCTAATATCAACACCAAGCTCATACTGATAATTCAGATCCTTAGCTCTTGCTTTAAAATCCTGTATTAATTTTCGGACATTCTGGTTCTCAAGAAGTGTCTCAGCAGTTATTGTTTGCGACGTAAGTGGGCTTGTTCCGTACTGACGAATCCATTCCATAATAGCCTTTCTTTCATATGTGTACGAGTCTTGCGCTGTTACTGGATCTTCCATTAACGTACGAGTGAGTGGACAGATAAATGACTCGGTGTTTTTTTCATTAGAAAGCGACATAGTTATGCGCTAAAAAGGAATTCCGGAGGAAAAGAATACACAACAGGCGTGTAGAAACGTGTGCGGTTTGGATCTTTTTTTGTTTATCCAACCACGTGAGAATAATACCAACTACTGAAAGTTTCAAATTTATATTCAGTTTTAAATAGAAATAATTCTTTTTACTTTTATTTTATTTTTTTGTGAATCATATTATAAAATCCGTATATTTCAAATCTATAGTTACCAAATGATGAATAAATGAAACAAGAAGCTTGGAGAAATATTGATTGACGTTAATTTAAAGTACAAATATTCATATGACAAAAACTAAAAACAATTACATCATGCGCTCGTCGCTTCTTTTCGAATGACTACAGCGAGTGAAAATGAAAATGTGTGCTATAGAAATACTACCAAAAAGGTAAGAAAGGCTCTTGTGATATAAAGGTACTTTACCTTGTTATCTTTCCAATGATGCACATTTTTTTATATGTGTTTCTGTTATGATCTGCCATTCCTGGCAGCTCATAAGACTATGTTCTCTTCTTCTTTTCCTTTCTTTCTGTTCATTTCGTTCGTGACTCATTGTGTTCTTGTACTATCCTTACGTATTCTGTTCTTGCGCAACACTTGTTTCATCGTTCTACTTTGCAGTTGTTTTCCAAATTCTTTCTGTTCTTGCACAACTGTTGCTTATTTCTTGTACTATATATAGCCGTTCACTTTATGCAAATAAATATGAGAAGTGAGTGAGTAGAACCTCACAGTTTCATTTCATTGAGCATCTTTCCAATATATAAGGTGCCTGAAATTCGAACTTCCAGTAAAACTGTGCGAACAGAAGACTGGTTTCCGATTAAGCTTATTTCTGTAGAACTCAAAGATCATTCATCTTTTATCTGTTCCTTTTTTGGTTCAGGAAATATTAGTTGAAACGTAACATCGCAAAAAAGAAAACGAAGAGAAAGTAGAAAATTATAAAAAGATATATACAAAATATAAAACAATAATTCTATATATATATATATAATTTCTCTCTCTCTCTATATATATATGTATATGACACATATTTTCTCCTGTCGTTTCTCCCATGGTTTGGAGAAAATACTACAAAAATTATTATTTTTTCTTTTATAAAAACTGGAGAACTGCCATGAATGAGCGTCTTTCCAAATCGACTCAAACTATCTAGTGCCTAGACGAAACACTCCCATAATATACGCTGTGTCTCTTAAGGGTTTTCGACCTTGCTCTGTCTGATGGTGTCACTGGATTTGGTTGATTCTGACTAGACGATGGACTTATTGAAAACCAAGTTTTTGAGCACAGGACTCTCGGGAACATTCAAATTAAAAATATTCATCGTAATCCTTTGATTTTTTAAACAAGCTCATTCGACAAAGTTCGCTTTTAACTATTTACGATAGTTCTTGCTTTGGAAAAACTCAAAATCGGAATGTTTCTCTGAGTCGAAGGCGATAGAGGCGAATAGAAGTAGCTCGATCGGTCGGTTAAGTGGGCAGCTAATCTAGCTGATAACCTCCTTGTATATTGACTAGTGGGTACTTAGAAGCCAGAATCAACCAAATCCAGTGGCACCATCAGATAGACCAAGGCCGAAAACCCTTAAGACCCAGAGGATATGTAGCTTTGCTCGTTACTTAAAAACACCAGCATTCAGAAATACTTCATTCCTGAGAAAAGCGCATTTTACATCAAAAATGTCCTGCGAGATTTATTCTGCCCATAACTTGATCAAAATTGAGTATAACTGACACTCATAATACAACAATAGATTCCTTGAAGTCAGCACTATTTATGTGACAGGATGTAAACCCTTTTGGAAGCATATCCGTTGTGCAAAAGTATTAAGGGCTGCAATACTTCACAATTTCTTCAATTTAACCCTTTAAAGTTCCATGGCCATTCAAATGAACATCAGCATTATCATAATAATCAACTCAGGAAGCATTCTTTAAAGACCCTAATCTTATACAGGGTGTCCCGAAAGTCATTAGAGTTAGGAAAATTTGAATATTTCCATTACGGGTCGACCAAACGAGCTCATTTTTTTACTAAGGATAGATGCATGTTCAGTCTCCAAATCTATATAGACAAGGGTATTGA